TAGTTTAATTAGTCCAAGTTACGTAGTTTAATTACACGGACAAATCTCTGCGGCAGAGGTTTTTTTTTTAATGCGGACTTTTACAAAGAGTTCGATTATACCATCAAAGTTGATATTCGATAGTAATGTCATTAAACATTTTTTTCCCATGAGAAATATTTCTAAAGCACAGAATTTAAGACAACCCGAATCTCCATGTGTTTCACACAAGTAACACTCTTTTTTTCCAGTCAATGATTCTTACTCTAGAATAGCAAATCTCGGGCTTCACTTTGTTCAAAGTGCATTGATTTCAGCAAAATAGTGTTCTGGTAACTAACCCGCCCCTTCGGTACACAGGAAGGCACTGTACCTCACTGCTTGAACCGATACCACAGAAGATAGTCAAAACGACCAGCACAACGATTTAGGCGACAACACCGAATTGCAACGTCAGTAATGCGACACATATCTTTTCTGTGGCATTACAAAGAATAAGAATAGAGGTACGATTACTATAAACCCTAGCATTAATCTCCCTGCAATTGACCCGAAGAATTAAAATCCAGGACATTTCCACTGTCAGTAAAAATCAACTTGTGTTCAGAATATTTAATATTATCTCCAGGCAATACAGCGTGCCTCACGTCTTTGCTCCTGATTTATTCTTAATTAATGATCGCTGCCCCCTACCGCCACAAAAATAATCTCAGATCTTTACAACGCTCATCGTTATGCACAGAGAAAGACTGCAAAACAGCAATATGACAAAAAATGAAAAAGATCTTCAGCGAAGAGATAATGAGAGGTAAAAGATAATGCTTTTAAAACGACAAATGACAATGAGTTAGTTATCATGATGTATCGTGATATCTCCAGTCACAGTAATAAGAAAATGAAGATGCACATATGAAATATCAATATTCTGAAATAGGTAATGTGAATATTCCATTGCAATAACATGATGCATCTCAGTGTCTATTCTGGAAGATTCACACCACCATTACAATATTCAATAAAAGAGAACAATGCAGATGTATTTACAGTGTGTTTTGAGCAACTGTGGTTGCTATTATCATTAGTATTCTTTCAGGAACACCCAAAATGATAGGAAACTAAAAATGCAGGCGTTTATGTAGGGACTAAATGCTAAAACAATATTTTTAAATACATATTTGCACAAGGAGAAAAAAAATACTTCAATACATTAAATAAATACAGGCAATACATTGTTTTGTGTACCAAACACATTTAGTTAATCAGAGGTGGAAAATATCCTTGTCTGTCCCAGAATGTCAGACATTTAAAACTCCATTTTCATGAACGCAGAGTAACTTGGAGTAACAGATCCTGCTGCCAGACTATTGAATATTTAGAACACAGTATGAGCCATCTCAGCGTTTCCAGAGACTCCAGACCAGACAGAGGATAGAGTGAATAGCAAATTAATGGATTGTAGCAGGGGCTTAGCTCCTGACCATTACGCCCAGCGAATTTCAGTTCAGACTCTGCTTTAATCCGGCTGCAGTCTGTGCCAGAACATTATGTTTCATCTTCTCTGGAAAAGGCTCTGTAAACCACGAAACTCAAGGACTCCCTGTGTGAAGAGTCTGCACTTACTGCTTTTGTGAGCCCCTAACACAAATAATATAGGTACAAATTTCATCAGTGTCAAAATGGAGACATTATGGCATTAAAGTTACATGAATTTACACAGCAAAAGCATGTGAAATGTAGACTAATCCATGCAACATATACAAGGAGTGGATATCACATACTGTATAGCCACATGAACATACAGTATGTGATTTTTTGATGCCTCTGCAGCCAGGTTTTGATTCAGTTTTAAAGTGAGCCATTGCTGTAATGCATTAGAATGATGACTCACACATCTAAGCCCAGCGGAAATGTAAGAGTTCAATTTGACTGAAGTACAGTAGAGCAACTGTAGCAGCAGATCCCTCCTATACAACGATTGCAAGACCAGCACTTGCCAGGTGTCTCTCTAATGAAAGGTAATTTCTTTTTGGATTAGTCCCAGTTACAAACGCACAACGTAGAACAGGAGGCCCTTCTCTATACAAAGAGTTCTGGGAGTCTGGAACACGCCACCCAGCCATGGTGTTGAAGCTCCAACCCTGACTTCCTTCAGGAAACAGCTGGTTGAGAGCCTTGGATCTATTCATTAATAACTACCAAACAGGCCATAGGGACTGAATTGATTTCTGTCATATGTAAACATTCTTATGTAGGTATTATAATGTACTGTAGGTATTCCTCTTGCATGAGTAGAGAAAATGTTGGAGTGAAAATTCAGTCTCCTGAGTGCCCATGTGGATCACAAGTCTCAGCAAAATGGCTGAGCTAGATTAATAGCAATCTCAGCTGGACTGGTATTAATGCTGGAGTCAGCTTTCTTCTGTGCTGCACGCCTCTGTCATTACGCTGTTACCCATTTTAACAAAAATGAGCAGAAATCAATCTTGATGCTTTGACAGCAGAAACAACTGTCAGAAGACCACCCTCTATCGCTAGAGACACTCTTCATTACCTAATGGGGCCAGTCTGGGTCACCCCTCTACAGCTTGGTTCCTATCAATTGACCTAATTAATTAGTGTGCTCGAGTTAAAGAACGGATCTGAAAACCAAACCAGAATGAGTTTTGCTCATTGAGTTTGGTCAAAACGATGGGTTTTGCTCAAGCATCAGCCAAATCAAACATACTCAAATGCAAGCAGTTCATGACTCTGTCGCACTGGTTGAAAGCATGACTTGCTGTATCTAGATGTGCATTTTTCCTACCCCTTCAATATAAGCTGTTTTGCTCGACAGCAAGAGCTGCTTCTTGGGGACCGCAGTTCCTTACTAAACGTTTACACTCCTATCCCTCCTCAATCACGCACAGCCAGTTTGCACCGACTTATGAAACTAGTTCGATATCTGTGCCATATTCTAAACTAAAAATTGCATCAGAGGTAGGCAGGGCTAACAGCCCAATTAAAAAACATTCCTGATAGACTCCGGTGAGATAGATTGAATAAGAGCAATCGGAAGCGGTTTCACAATCCTGTGCCAGGATACTTGTCTAATGAGCAATACGTTCCTGTTTCCAGGAGTTCATTAACCTAGTGAAGGCTTCTAATGAATTTACGGCATTTTGCCTTAATACCCAGCTATCTCCTTCCAGTCCTGTTCCTTTGCACCAGATCTTCATCAGAGAAAACTCGTTACAGCAGTTTAACAAGCATGAGGAACTACATTTCAGTTGTGTAGTTGCCATTCATGCCTTTCTAATTAATATATCATACAATTACTGCATATACTGCAGATCAGCTGAGCATGCTCTATTACTCTCATCTTATTGTGCACAATTCCTCATGTGAGCTGCCCAAATCATTTTTTATTAGTTTCTGGTTTTCGTCATTGCATATATTCAGATTTGATTAACAATTTACCGCTAAGGTGTTTTCATCGTTTTCCATCTTATTTTTCAGTCTGACTTTCTATTTTACCTCACATTTAATAAGCAAATCATAATGTCTTCTTCCTCTTCTTCTTGTTTGCAGAGCATGTTGCTCACAGGAGAAGCTACTGACATGGAAATGTATCTCCTTAACGGAGTGAACAGGTTGGAGCACCAATTACTGTTTCCATATGTATGAACTAATTTCAGGTTCTATTACTTATTACCTGATATAAATTCCCATTTTTATATAGAATTATATGGAATTATTAGTAGTAGTCTTAGTAGTATTGTTGCTATTATTGACGTGTTTTATATACAGCATACATGCTTTTTACTTCTGGAAATTGTTCAAATGCTGTTTAAATTCACTCTGAGCTCCACCCATCTGAATGCGATGACATCAATTGCTCTAAAGGCTGGTGACTATCAGTGGAGAACCCAATAACCACTGCAGTCTACAGTACTGGTATCACACCCTTGGAAAAGAATGAATTAATACACACTGCAAGGCACCGTATAAGCGCACCACAATACGGGATGTCTCCTTTACAAATATCACTTAACGGTTTCTGAAAAAACAAAATGTCCCAACCCGGTGTAGAAAGCCTTTAGGGCATCCTTCGGCTGTTTTCGTGGGGGATGATTCATCCGATCTCTGAACAAATCGGCAGACAAGCCGAGTTCAGGCAAGACCTCAAATAAAAGTATCCCTCCTGCATTTTCCCTTCCTCCTTAATCATTTAGATTACCTTAAATTCCACAAGGAAACATGCCCGTATTTAAGCCATTAATCTACCTTCTAACGCGATCAGCAGAATGAAGATACAGACACTAAAAAAAAAAAAAGAATTGGTCTTACAGTCAGTGTCAGACCGGGTGTCTTTAAATATACTGTGCACAGCGGCTTCTGACACGGCTGAGGAACACGGGAGAAGCACTCCTCCCTGCAGGCCAGGTGAGAACCGCAGTAAGCAGGAGCTAGGCAGCTCTGCCTCTGGACCCGAGTCCCTATTCGGCACCCTGGCTCACGCCTCCGCCCGGCTGTCTGCGGAGATTCGCACAGCTTTTCCGACACCGCTCACCCGCCCTGTCCTGGACCCGAAAGCGCAGGGCGCTGCGGGCAGATCTCCACACAGGCCGTTCAGTGACACCCTCCTCCATGCAGAAACTCCGAGGAGGCACGAGTTACTGTAGCACTGCAATGCAGAAGCAGGGAAGTACCTCGCTGACTGCTAACACCGTGCATCATCTACCGGACCGCACTCTTGCCGCTCTTGGCGTCCTGCATAGCGGGATACAATCATCTGAATGAAAAGACCAGGAAACTGTTACATGTTAGCGTGGAGTTATTTCGAAAATGCAACATTTTATTAACACGTTGCCACATTTTTTTTTCCTCTGTATGGCACGCACCTCATGTTGCAGTGCGGGGATATCCTACCTGATTTTTTTTTAAGCGGCCGTCCCTAGTAATTGACACTGTAATGCTATTTTCCCACAGCGTTTGGTACAAAAACACTCCACATCAGAGAAATAACACAAAATGTGACTTACGTGCCGAGAAGTGCTGTAAACCTAGTAAAATTAAAAGGCTTGAGCTCAGTATTTTGCCATTCATCCTTTATGGAAGGCTGGTGTTCCTCTTGTTTCTAAGCCGTAAACAAAATCCTCTGCTAATATTTTCTCCTGTCCGCCGACCACCACAGCATCCTCTTCCCCCCCTTTTCCCCAACTTTAGCACGCTCTGGCACAACTCTGCTTCCCGACCACACGGCTTGTCCCAGCTGGAAGCGGGGGCGCGCATCTATTACTGCTGCGGCGCTCCACACGGGTGCGCGCACCGTCCGAGTGGATAAATCCTTCCAACTATAGCTTGTTTTCCGCGTCTGAATGCTTCAGGACACTATAAGTCAAGATGCTTTAAAATAGCATGTGCGGGTCGCATCTGAATTTATTTATTATCCTATCCCTCTGAAAGAATAAAAAAGTGGCGTTAATTTTAATGCTTCTGCTCAATAAGAAGCGTGATGGAATGACCTATTAAATTTCGTCCTCCCCCCGTCTCCCCCCTTAACCATGAAATGGACACTTCCTGTGCACTAATGCATTTTCCAAATTTCACAAAAGCTGGTCCTGACGTCCAAGGGCCAGAGTCTCATTGTTTGCCAGTGTTTGCTTTCCGGGTTCTTGAGTTACGCACCGCACTTAACCAAAGTGGAATCAGATCATCCTCTCCCCAGCCATGACGGGCTGTCACCGGCCCCGCTGAGCTCCATCTGGCACTCAGCTCTTCACCAGATCCCCAGCCTCCTCCTGGCCCTTCCGTTCCACACACAGACTCGGTGTGGAGCAGCGATCACAGTTCTGGACTTGTTAGTAGAAGGTTGTGGGTTCAAATCCCATCCTCCCTGAATTGCTCCTGTGAAACACCTGCATAAATAAGACTTGCATAAATGGACGCAAATGTAAATTGCATTGAATCAAACCAAATACATTAGTACTACTACTATAGCAAGTATCATCACTGATGTTAAATGACATGGGTTTGTTAACCCTGTGCTGCTTGGACAGAACAGAAACAGTCATGTTAAACAGTGCCATGTGGCTGTGTACAGTCAACTATAGTTTGTACTGTATACTGTATGCTGACAGCTGGTGTCTATCAACCTGTTCTTTAGCCCTACTAACCAGAGGGTTCATGAGTTCATGAGCAGGTTATTTGACCAGTTATGTAGTTTAGCGCTTTGGAATGAATCTCCCAACATCCTTGGAGCTCACAAGGCCCACAGGTTGTCACTCCTGATTGATTTGGACCCATGAACTGACTAAACGGATTATAGCTAAATTTTAACCAGCTACAATGTGGCTGTCCAGGATCAGCATTAGCCCCACACACACACACACAAACACTTTTGCTGCACTAATAGGAACATGAAACTGAGAAATGTATGTATTTAACCCTGGATTCTCCACGCCTTTCCAAGTGAGAGGTTTCCGCGTCGAACACATCAAGCAGTATAGAGTAGTGGTGAGGGGCTCTGGTTGCGCCTTTGACCAAGGTACGTCACTCAAATTGCTCCAATAAATGCCCAACTGCATAAATAGGTACTATCCAGATCTTCTATGGAAAAGTTCATAATTGACTCACCTGGAAAAATAAAGTAATAAATGAAACTTTAGGGTTATGCAAGTGTAAGGGCATTTGTCTGGCAAATCTGAATGAGACACTTTACTTCTGTTATTGTAACAGCAATGTACAAAACTCATGGTATTTGGTATACATATTATCAAAATGAAGGAGTGGATCACTAAACTATTAAGTACAGAGCAGACTGGATGGGCTAAATAACCTCCTGTTGTCTGAAACCTTTCTCTTGTTCTTACGAGTCTGACTTTCAATGGCTACACATAATAAGGTAATGAGGATTTCTTTCAAAAAAACTGTGAATTCTATTTGCAGGTGGTATTTTGAAAGTGAGAAAATAGGAGTGGCTTGGTGTAAATGGACTTTTCTGTGCTGTCACCAGCTGCACGGTGATGTAGTGCATTGTGCAAGGCGAAACTTTCCCATGATCCAGTGAGTCAGCTGCTTACTGGGGATCACAGTAAGATACCGATGTCTCCTGAACTCCACGCCTCTCCTCTGCACGAGTGACAAGAGCATCAGGTGACAGTACTTCCTAACCTGTGGTTTCAGTTCTGCAAACGGCAGAGCTGTCAGGAGCAGTGAGCTTGATGGCACTTTGCTGGTTTGTTTTTTATCTTCACCAGGGTAAAGGCTTGCAGAGCCAGCTGTGCATTTGGGATGGATTTATGACAGGCGGGGCAAACTGGAAAGGCTTTGGGATTAAGATACGGGTTTATGGAACAGTGCAGCTCTGTCGCCGCTGCACAGCGTGTACTGGATTTGCATGAGATTTATTTTTATTTCTGAGCCGAAAAAGACCCACCAAATGTTGCATTTGCTAACATGCTTATGAGGGGGCAAAGTAGGGAGTCCTGTAGAATGAAGGACAAACCTATTTATTCATGATCTGTGAAAACAGAACAATATGCACGTTGTGCTCTTCATTCTGTGATTTCTAAACAAGTACAAAGAAAAAATATTTTTAGAATTCTCGGCAGCATTCTAATTGATAGTGCGCCCAAGCAAACAAGTAAGATAAAATCACTTTATTGGCCATACACAATCTCTTGTATTAGGAATTTGTCTTTTCACATACGCCAACTTGCTCTACATTAGCCACACAGACAAGCTTGTGGTCAGAGCGCAGGGTCAGCCATTTACACGGCACCACTGGAGTAGCTGGGGTTAAGGGCCTTGCTCAGGGGCCCAACAGAGTAGGATTACCCTGCTGGCCGCGAGATACGAACCAGCAACCTTCCAGCCACAGAACCTTAGCCACAGAGCCACCACACCAAGTACGTCATGCAAAGAGCAGGTGCAGTATTTATAATGGAGTTTGGATTTAGAATGGTGTTTCTTGGTGGTACAGTGGTCCAGTGCTGGGGCCCAGGGTTCAATTCCAGATTTGGGTTGCCTATCTGTGTGGGGTTTGTATGTCCATCCTGTGCTCATGTGGGTCTCCTCCCACAGTCCAAAAACATATTGGCAGATTCATTAGCTTCTGGGAAAGATTGAGTGAGTGGGTCCATGTCTGTGATGGACTCTATCCAGAGTGGACCTGCGTTGAGCCTATTGCTTGCTGGGATAGGCTCTGACTCGCCCGCAACCTTGTATTGGATAAAGTGGTTAGAAAAAGGAAGGTTTTCAGATTTCTGTACCTGCTTTTTGGAACAATTTACAATTCAAGACATCCATTCTTTTTCTAACTGCTTTTTCGTATTCATGGATCACCAGGGAGCCAGAGCCTATACAATTCAAGATAAAGTCTTCACAATCATTACGTGATTATATTTGGAAACAGCACCCCTTTGTGTGATAGCAGTGTTGCACACAGCGGTTATAGTGATAAAACAGATTTCAAGATACTGTGTGTACTAGACAAAGCTATAAGGACATCTGATATTTTTTCAAATGAGAGAAAGTGTTTTATCCACCTTTCTGAATTGATTGTTAGTAGCTTATCGGTTCAAGGATCTTATTCAGCTGTTTTTTTTATAGAACTCAAGGACCTGGCCTCAGCAGGGTAACTGTGCATCTTGTTACAGGTATCCACAAAGCTATAACGCAATGTTTTATACAGAAAACCTAAAATGGCAATTAAGCCAGGCGAAAGCACCTTCATTTTCAGCTCACAAACACATGAGATTTTTGTTCATGTCTGTCTTTTAGCAGCCTTCTGTAAACCAAGACCACGAGACTCTGATTAAAAAGAAAACACTTCTTTTTTATTTCTTTTGCTTTCCTCATTCTCATCATAAACAAGCTTGTGGTTAACGGGTACAAGGCCTCTATCTTCCTAACCACAGGTTAATGATTCAGACGGGGAGTTTCAGTCCTACAGCCAGCCACAGTAAATAGAAAAAAAATCACTTCAGCTCACTTCAGAGCTGCAGCTAGTGAAGACTCGCCCATCTTGCCCCAGATAAATCACTCTGCAGCGCACGTTTACAAGGCCTCAAATTCTCAAAACGGTCACTATAAGGAAACAGCAAATGCAACTGGATGAATAGCGATGAGTGTGGAACGTGCTTGTGAAGCACAAATTACCCAACATGACTCTAATGCAACCTTGTCCTGGATACCAACTAAATACTTACAGAATGGGAAACAGACACTGGTTTAATTATTCAAAAGGAATTTGATGCACTAATGTAATATTCATCCACTGATAGGAGACTGCTATAACAGCAGTTATGAAACAAAGCAATATAACAGTTATGAGGAACTGATTGGCAGTTCCTCATTACTGTACTGTACAATGAGTCCTATGGTACTGCCCTTGCCAGTTCAAACCTGTGCTTTTTCATTAGCAGATAAACAGGACTGGAGAGCTAGCAAGATGCAAAGATGGGTGTGAGCGAGCATGAACTGGGCACTGGGTCATCGGCTTGCTACTTTGCCTGGCACCTTGTCCTTATCAGCCATGAGAGAGATGTCACCAGGCAGCGCCAGCCCTCCTGCGTGGGAACTTCTCAAAGTGTCTAACGCCAGATGACAATTACCAAGATGTAGGCGCCGATCTCCATCCACCAAGACAGTCAGAACCCAAGAAAGGTCACAGATGAGAGAGGTGGTGAGTCAACTGGCTCATATTCAGGAGTTCTAAATGGTTGAGAAATCATTGTTAGTTTCAAAGCTTTAAGAACAAACCAGCATGAATATGTGAGTTTCTCAGGGCCCTTATTTGCAAATCTCTATTGTATTCACAAGGGTTGTTTGTTAGGCAGTACAATTTCCCAGCAGCACAAACTAAAGGTTATACTCAGGTTATGACAGGTTTGTGCCTTCCATTGCCCTTAAGCAGAGCCCTCAGGCCTTCAGAGATTAGAAGAACTGTTTGGGCAACACCCAAAACCATAGGGCAACGCTCACCAAAACAACCTTGACCGAACCAGCTGTGTTCTGCGCTAGTTCGTGTTTTTTCTTCTTCTGAAAAGTCTACCCGCCCATTGAACTTCTGAACCCCCTCCACATCTAAGAGTGCAGATCTGTGGCTTTCTTTGTCTCCTCCCTACCCCCTTCCCCGAAGGCTTCAGGATGGGCTAAGGAGCTCAAAGCACGTTATCGTGTAAATCCAACCATTGACACGGCCCTTTTCATCCTTGAAGGATCACCCCAAAGCACTTCAGATGCTGTATAGGAGGGGGACCAACGTCATCCCCTGGTGAAGAGCAGCCCCCATTTGGGTGACATGTGGCAGCCCATTGCTGCACCAGCTCCCCAGTGCACAGCTGGTCAGGTCAAGAACTGAGAAATTATATCAGCAATTGAACTAAAGATCAGTTTAGGGAGGCCAAATCAAGCACAAGGGCAGATTTCAGACAAAGGCAGCAGGATTATGACATCTGTTCTTATAAGGAATCTTAAATGACCAAGTAGTTAAACCGAAGTCCTGACATTTCAAAGGCTGGGCACATCCTACAGTATAGTGTTCTCTGTGACCAGTTTGGAAATTTTGATCCATAGAATATAGAGCACCACCTACTAAGGTCTATCAACACCAAAAACACTGGGTTTCCTTACAAGATTCCCATTCCAGTACTGTCCAGGCCCAGCCTTGCTTAGCTTGACCAGATCATGATAGAAGTTCATGACATTGTTATCAAAATCGAACTTGCATGCAAATTTCCATCTTAAGGTTTCTGGTATTTCAAGACACTGAAGATCAGTTTTAATTAATTTTTTAACCTAGTGATCCAATGCAAATTAAGATAAGATCAGCTAATGGGCCAAATACAATTTCTTGCATTAGGAATTTGTCTTTTCACATACCCCAACTTGCTCTCGATCAGACACACAGAAGGAGAGAGAAGGTTGGGGTCAGAGCGCAGGGTCAGACATTTATACGGCGCCCCTGGAGCAGCTGGGGTTAAGGGCCTTGCTCTGGGGCCCAACGGAGTACAATTCCTCTGCTGGATGAGCAGCAACTTTTCAGCCACAGACGCAGACCTGTAGCCACAGAGACACCGCACCGCCCCAAAAGCATAAAAATCCATCTCGAGTTCAACTGAGTAGAAGCCAAAAGAGTTTGGAAATAAAAAACACTATAAAGTAACAAATCAGTGTTTTGTGACTGCCGAGGGTATTCAGTTGTTAACTAAATATTGGTTTCAGATGGAACCATCCACAGATTTCTTACCTTCAAAAAAAGCAAACAAGATGACAGGAAACAAGAGTTTATTTTTATTGCAACACAAACATAGATAACGCAAGAACTTTGAATTCTAAAGGCCTGTAATTTGTTACATTATTGGTTATCAACCCACGTGTGCAGTGTCTTGCTTCTTCAGAAACTGTCCAGGGTTTCCTCAAAAGTAACCATAATGCTTTTTACCTGCTTGACTGGTAGTAAATAAAATCGATGCTGTTGTGCAATGCATTTCTTACAAAAATCATGTATCTGTTCACCGGTGAACAGATGTAAAATGTAAAAATTAAAGAGTATTATTATTTCAATAATCATACTTTCATACCTGAATTTGTGTTTAAATTGGGGAGACATCTTAGCATTGTCTTTTACTTGCACAGATCCTACAATTTTACAGCAGACTAGCTCATCAATTTCGTGTTGGCGAACGCTTCTGTGGTTTGTGTTATTTCTGCTGCATTGCCACTTTTTAAATAGTATTTCATGGTGCAGAAGAAGGGCAATATAAAAATATTCTCGCAAGGGATAGGCTCAAATAAAGTCAGATGTCTCTGACTTAGTTGCTACAATCAAATAACTTGTTGACAACCACGAAGAGAGTGAGAGAGACTGACTACCACACAGCAAACAGGAACCAAAGAGCTGCGCTCCAGTATCTCTGGAGATCTGCCTCTGCTCCACAGGTAAGACGAATGCTTCTCTGTCGGGACAATGTCAAATAAAATGTCTGAGATTAAAAAATGAGGCTTTTGAAAAAAGGAACAACAGGCTTTTGTCTTCACATGAGCAATCAATAGTAAGAACAACTCTTTATCAAAACAAGGCATGATTTCTTTGAAAAATGCATGATACTGTACAGTACTGTACAGTATGTGTGTCCTGATTTTAGCATAAACTCATCTGCTTGAACCGTTTTTTTTATGCAACACATTGTAGATACGTTTTAGCAAGAAGAATCTTTATTTGTATACAAACATACAAGATTGTTAAGTAATAAGATGTTAAACGCTGAGGTATGTTTAATATTTTACATTAACTGTGCGGAAGTCTTGTTTTTTTAAATGAATAATGCATACCTAAAAAGTATTTATTTGGTCAGGGTGAACATAGGTAATTAGTAAAAAACAGTGATTGGTAAAAAACTGTTTTGTGTGATGCACCTTCACTGTGTAAAAACTTAAAGTTCGAATTGTGACTTTAGGCCTTCATTTTGTGTTCTTAAATGTGCTTGAATTTTAAATAAAATGGTTTAAAAAAACTGTAATCATTTCAAACCACTGAACAGAATCAACAGGACAAATGTTTTACAACAACAACACTAATAATAATAAATAAAAAAAAAAAAATAATAATAAAAGTTTAAAGAACTATCAGGAAGAAATGTCTATTTCCGTTTTTTGTAGTTACGAGATAAACAAGAGAAATCGCTTACTAACAGTTTGAAGTACAAACGTGCATACTTTCCTTGGTCAGAATAGTTTTTAACAACTGTTAGAGGTACTGAATATGTCGTACAGATCTGAGTTATGGGTAACATATGAGGGCATACATCAACATTTTTTACCACTCTGTTAGAAAAAAACCAGAGCTGACTGCACATCCAATTAATTGTTTTTTTGTGTGTGCTTTTACATAATATTTGATTCATTAAAAGAGAAAAATAGGCTACTTATTTCTTAAGCAATAAATTAACCTTGTTGCTCAAAAGGAAGAGCTGATATTTTTTTAGCCTAGGGCCATTTTAGTTTTGTCTTACAGAAATAACAGTATGCAACGGCGTTCTTGAATCTGGACAAATTCTGCCATACGCATTAGAAAAATTATACACAAGGCAAAAATATTTGTCAAGAATGAAAGTGAATCTATATATAAATTGAAGTATGTGATGTACTTTTTCCAAACCGTTATTGAAAGGTCACCCTAATATCTATACATAGATTTTTCCTGTGACTGTAAAATAGTATAACTGTTAACTCCACCATTCTAAGAAGAATTCAGGAAATTAGTGTCATGTCCTTGAAAGTTACCAATTCTTTTACCAATTGGAGTACCAATTCTTTTCCCCCTCCCAAAAAAACATGCAACTATTTTTCTGGCTGTCTGTGCTGACCAGGGTACGAACATTTTTTGTACCATAATAACTTTGCCAAATGATAATTTTTATTCCTGATGTACATTTAATTAAACAAAACCAAAAAATACAGAAATAAAACTAAGTTTATATTCTATAACGGAATGCACAGATTCTTGAAGCCTTGTTTTATGTATATAATCTATAAAGACTATAAAAATACAGAATGTAGTTCTTACCTTCGCAGTGTCTTTCAGTTCTGCTTTTCAAACTGCATCTACAAAATGTTCAAGAGTTCCCAGGAACGAGCTGCCCAGATGAGGCACATTTCTCACAGTGCCGTGGTTTGTGATAATGGTACAAATCACTTTAGATAATCACTCTACATAAGCAGAGAAATCTTTCAACATTACTAATAACAAGCACAAAGCACGGATTGCTTCACAAACCCTAGTCAGATTTAACTCACCCAACGACCAACAGACTTTGTCACGCAACTTAAGTTGAGTTTTGACTTGCCTGTGGTTAAGGCTTAGTCAAAAACTCTCGATTGAAGTGTCTTTTTCTTCCCACGTTGGATGCCCTGAAGTTACCTCAGAAAATCCCTGGTTTAAAAAAAATCTCGAAATGCTGAAGAATATATCTATATATACAGTACCCATACAGTGTAAAAATGAGTTTTCAGCTAAAAAAAACTTAATTAATACATCTTTGTGTATTGAAATAGTACATACCTCCATCAACAGCCTTCATAGGTCATTAATAGTCTATTACTTGAAATTATAAATGATCTATGACTTGGTTAACATGAAAATATACAAGATTTATTGGCCAGTGAGTAATATTAGACTGGCTTGGTTGTGCAGTGATTAGAATTGCTGTTTTGCAGTGTGGGGGTCCAGGGTTCAAGTCCTGGGGTGCTGTCTGTGTGGAGTTTGCATGTTCTCCCTATGTTAGTGTGGGTTGTTTCTGGGTGCTCTACAGTAGTTTCCTGCCACAGTCCAAGGACATGCTGGTAGGTGAATCAGCCCTGGTGTGAGTGTGTGTGTGTGTTTTTGTGTCTGCTCTGTGATGGACTGCTTTCCAACTCGGAGTGTATCCTGCCTTCCTGTATCCCTGTTGCTTGCTGGGATAGGCTCCAGCGCCCCTGCAACCCTGAATTGGAGGAAAAAGTTAGAAAATAGAGGGACTGGTAACATTACAGATTTTATTAACTAGGCTACAGAATATTGTTCCAAAATTGTATATACTGTAACCCATGGACATTTGGCTTGTAATGGTAGAGGCCAGAGTCCTAATTACTTATGGTGTAATTAGATTTCTAAATTCAGAAACTAAACTTGTACTTTTTTGTAATTGTTTTTACATTATTTCACGAGTTAAATTAGTTCTCTCCCTATAACTGTAACCTTACTCTGATAGTCCCACAATAAACACTTTCTTCAACACCGGATTTATTTTTTTCCCATTTCTGAGAATTCTCAGAAATCTGGCAAGCACTGTAAGTGAGACTTCACCTTTGACCTTACCATGAGAGTTATGTGTGAAGAAAACCTTTGTTCTTTCTTCATTTTCTCCTGACCCTGGCAAGAAATGAAAATAATCAACTTTGTGATAACCATGAGTCACACAGCATTTCAGACACAAGTCGGTCACAATATGTTGATGTCATTGTTTCTGCTGCATTTGAAAATGTTGTTTGTGAAGTGTTTGAAATCACTGACAAATAGAAGAGCTGTTCATTATTTAGAGCCTTGAGGACAAAAATATATGTGCCCAATAGATATGTACAGTACATATTTTTAGTTTTTTTTATTTTTTATTTCACTCTTAAAACTTTCAAAACATATTTTTGCAGTTCGGAGCAAAAATAGACTGTTTTTCCTACTAAACTAAAAAAGAGACATTAAATCTTCAAAAGCTGCTGACCTGGAATCTAACAACGCTGAGATTATTTAATTTAAGATACAGTACCATCATTCAGTGTGAATAATAAAGATTGTGAAAAATCAGTATGACACTGAGAGCAATGTTTTGACTGTACAACGAAACCTCCAGAAAGCTTTAGGGTTTTGATGCACTGACAACTTTCTGCTTAAAAAAATATTTCATGCAGTCTTCAAATGTTCAACTATATCACACAATCCAAACTATGTGACCTGTAGCTGAAGAGATACCTGAAAGATTATTGAGTGTAGCTGTGACAGAACCGCCTTGTTGTAAATTAAGAGGCAATCACGGTAGCAAAAAAAAATCTCCACAGGAAACCAAAATGAAGAGCAAAACAAGTGTCCATTTTTATGTGTGCTCCAGGGCAGAAAACATTAAAAAAAAAAACAACAAATAAGTCGCACAAAAATGTAGCTATTCAGGGAACTCACCACTGAAAGTTCTGAATCAGGCTTTTCAGGGAAACCAAGCTGTGGAACATCACACAGTCAAGGATAGCTTTTTTTTTTTTTTACAACCAGGAATACACAAAGCTAGCTGCTCACCATGAGTAACAGGTTAAATACCCTAGGCTCCGCCCACTCCCTCTGATGGACAAGTAGGAATCCATTTGAACCAATAGGGAGCCAGGCTCTGCGACCCAACACAAAATGGCGGAATGGACTGAAAGATAACGAACCTAACAATGAGGCTCATTGTGGAGTCACAACAAGTGGTCATACATAAGAAATTATTAACACATAAGTACAAGAGCAAAAGACAGCATCCAATCCCCAATTAAGAATAACAGCTAAAAATAATAGCAGTAATTAGGAGTGAGCTAAATAAATATTCCTTTCTTTTCATGTGCTCTGGTATGATGGATGATAATGAAAAACCTGGAAGTAGATGTTAGGGACCAGGTGAGTAAACAGTGCCTATGTTTACCTCATACGGTTGGAGGTCATGTGAAAATGGCATGAAACAGCCCTTCGGTAGAGTGGTGTAGCTTTCACACGACTGAGAATTTAACCATGACAGATGAGTAATACGGTAACTTATTTCAAACTTCTGGGTGGCATGGTGGTGCAGGGGTTCACATTACTGCCTGGTGGGGCCCTGGGTTCAGTTCCACACCTGGGGCGCAAAATGTGTAGAGACTATATGTTTTCTTCATCTTAAAACTGAATTGTTTAACGTACAATTAAATTGGGGACTGGTTTAGATGCACTTTTCACACTGGCACCCAAGCTGTGCCTAGCTAAGCCAGGCCCTCACCAGAATTCCTGTTCAATTCAAAGGCTGCAGAGCAGGCCTGGGAAAGGCTGAAATTATCAGCCTGTCCTACAGTACATCAAAGGGAAAAATAACTATATCTTTCCTTGTGTTGATGTGATGTGAAGCAATGACCTGTTAAGAACCAGATACAGAGTCCTGATTGAAACAAGAGGTAGAAGATGCTGAAACGGTAAACCATCAGCTGAGCTTAACTGGGCTTACCTGTTGCTTTGGTTGCAGCCTATTTTTAATTTAATTCGTTTTTCGCGTTTTGCAGCATCGTTGTAAGCAAAAACTGCAAACTTCTAAAAATAAAACGTTAATTACAAGGAGAAAAAAATGTGAGTTATTTACACTCCAGGAAGGGGGTGTAAGACTCCTGCTTTATTGGAAAGGAGGGTGCCTTTGTGACCATGATCTCTCTGTAAAAGCTCCCCCCCATCCATCCCTTCTAGGATGACGACGGTGGATGACTACAGCACCTCCACGCAGGATTATGACTACAACACTTCCAACTATTCAGAAATCCCGGAGCTCTGTGACATTGGCAGCACCCACAGCTTCATCAAGATCTTCCAGTCCTGCATCTTCGCCCTCATCTTCTTCATCGGGATTCTGGGCAACTCCTTGGTCCTCACCACGTACATCCTCTACCGCCGCCTCAAGCTCAGGTCCATGACCGACGTGTTCCTGCTCAACCTGGCCATGGCCGACTTGTTCCTGTTGCTCACCATCCCCTTCAAGGCCACCTACATGGTGCTGGGCTCCTGGGTCTTTGGCATGCCCCTGTGCAAGATCACCTGCAGCCTCTACGCCATCAACTTCTACAGCGGCTTCCTGTTCCTGGCCTGCATCAGCATTGACCGCTACGTGGTCATCGTCATGGCCACCATGGCCCACAAGCTGCGGAATAAGACCGTCGTCTACAGCAAGCGGTGCACCGTCCTGGTCTGGGTGGCTTCCATACTCCTGAGTCTTCCAGAAATCATCTTCACCACCGTTGAAGCCAGGGACGGAGATCTGCTCTGTGAGACCCTCCTGACAGAGGAGAGCCCGTCCATCAAAGCGTGGACCCGGCTGGCCCAGATCACGGTGGGCTTCTGCGTGCCCTTCTTCGTCATGCTCTTCTGCTACTCCGTCATCATCCGCACCCTGCTCAAGGGCCGCAGGTTGGAGAAGCACAAGGCCCTGCGCGTCATTCTGGCCCTGGTGCTGGTTTTTGTCGTCTTCCAGCTGCCCTACAGCGTGGTGCTGTTCCTCAAGACGGCCGGTTTGCTGGGAACCAGCTGCTCCGACTGGCACAACACCCTGGTGGCGGAGTACGTGACCGGCAGCCTGGCGTTCATCCGCTGCTGCCTCAACCCCCTGCTGTACGCCTTCGTGGGCGTCCGCTTCCGGAACGACGTGCTGCTGCTCCTGCGGGACCTGCGCTGTATCAGCCGGGCCCGGTACTCCTGCTACGTCACGGCCCGCGCCGGCAGCTCCAAGCGCCTGTCGTTCGCCTCCGGCTCGGCCGCCAACACCGACACCTCTTCCATGTTCTGAGACACAAGGCAGACGAACCCCCAAACCCCCCACCCACCCCACAGACCGACGGCCGAGAATAGACTCCTTCTTTGGAGAAATGTTGCTTTTGGGAGAAATGTTACTGAACATTAAACCCGAGTTGTTTTTGAGTTCGTCTTTCGCCTTCATTATGACAACCATTGCCGACACTTCTTCCGTGTTCTAAGACAGAAAGCAGACAAAAACCCAACCCCAACCACCAGACAGTCTGCAGAGAACTCATTCTTCAGAAAAAAATAAAAAAACCTAGTTGTTTTTGTACATATACATTCCCTGAGTCCCTGTCTTCCATTTCAGTCTTTTTCAGCATGATCAAACCAACAATGTCTTGGTGGCAAACAGTCTTTCTGGAGTAAAACAAATGCTTTCACCATTGTCATAAGGATTCTGATGCTGACGCTGATCACACTGGTAGTGTCGCACTGCCAGTTTCATTTACGGTTCAAAAGACATTGTTTAGCTCATTTTCGGCATGTTTGCAGAAAAACTAAATCTGTTGTGCTGTAAATATTTTCTCAAGGATAATTGTGGCGTAACACTGCAATGCCATTAGAATTTTGTACATTTTATAGGTATTCATATTTTATTTGTTCTTGTTTGAATTAGTTATGTAAAAAAAATCTACATTAGAAAGGCGGAAAGGTTCATGTGCTTAGTTCCACAAGTTTGAAAATGAAAAACTCATGTATAATTGAAGTGTAAATAAAACAAAACATTAGGTCTGTTTTTGTGTTGCTAAAAATGTACTGTATTCTTTATTGTCTAAGAATAGATTGCAGTAAATGACAACAGTTTTAAAAGGAACCTCTGGGTAAAGTCCATTATAATAGCTATCCTTCAGATACAATTCCAGTCAATTCCACACAAAAACAATGTGATTGATACCTAGTATTTGAAAAGCCAGCTGGCTTTATATTTAAGAAATACAGAGCAGATTTCTTCTGTCTTCATTTTATGTTATGTAACAGGCATGCAAAACATCCTGTGCTGCATGCTTTAAGATAACCTTAAAGATAACCTCTTTAAGAAAACCTAAGAGCTTTCCTGTCCTGGTCCTGGTGTCTCCATCTTCCCACAATAACGTTTGATTTTCGGACGCTGGTTTTCAATCGAATGGATAAGTTTTAGGCTGTTGACCCCTTAATTGAGAATTCCATTGACTAGAGGTATTATTTGGTTTCAGCACTTAAACAGCAATGGGTCTTAAATTTAACTGCTATGTTTTAAGTAACTTAAAATGTGCCACCTTTTCGTGCCCCAAAATTATGCAGAACATTTAAATGATTAAATTAAGAGCAAAATTATGTAGCAGAGAGCAATGCTGGCTTTTGAAGCCATTTCTGGACTGTGTGGAGAAGCTGAACTGGTTAATGTCTGATACTGTATATTATAAATATTAATTACTCATAAACCAATTGTGAGTTGCTTATGGCACAACAGTGGTGTGTTGGATAGTGCTTCTGCCTCACAATTCTCTGGCCTTGGGGATTGATTCTGGACTTCGGTGGGCAGTGTGCATGTTCTGCATGGGTTTTCTCTCATTGCACCGGTTTCCTTGCACAGACCTGGCAAAAACATGACATGTGGGTTGATTCCCTAGTAGGTTAAATGAAAAGATCGGGAGGGATGACAGCAACCAAGTTTAACTGGCCCCTCCTGTCCTAGTTAGTAATCACTCCCGATGTCATTTCCTCACTTGAAGATTATAAACATTGCGCATAATCCCCTTCTCTCCCTCCCACCCCAGCTGCCCCTTGCTCACTCCTCAGTCTGCAGGGGGTCCCAGCCTCCTTGTCCTCTGGCCAGGAGGTCACCCCTCAGCCAAGTGTATCTCACTGCGACCCTGTACAGTACTGGACCAAGCAATTACTTTCAAATGTATCTATGAATTGATAAAGTCATTAAGAGTTGAAACTTAATCCTGCGTGCACAGTCTCCAAGACAAGGTGATATTCAGTCTGGAATGGCAACAAGTAGATGGTTCACAAATAGCAATGACCTGATGGATCTTACAATGCTTGTTTAGTCATGCAATATCACAGTTGGCCACGAGGTGGCACTTGTGCCTTAATTTTCTTTCACGTTGGCCTCAGCAGACTTAACCGCAATCCAGTTAGACTCCGCAAACCTTCTTTTTAATATTGTTATCTTCTCAATATTTTAATACTACTGTTAATAATAATATGACATATTTGTGATATTAAATTCCTGGTTTAACACAAACAGCTATTAGGCAAGTTCTAAATAGTATATTAAGTAGAAAATAGATAAACCACATTCTACTGTTCAGAGAAAGCAAGGCAAAATTCACAATGCACCTTTGTGCGAAATAAAAGGAATACTGTGCTGTTGCTATTGGCTGTTTGAGCACACACTGTCTAACTGATTGGATGACTTTTGTTGCCATTCACCAGCCTTCTGCTGAGTTGTCATCTCGTGACAACAAAAGTAGAAGACCAGCCTTATCACTCCTGTTTGTCACTTGCAGTAAATGAAGAGGCAGTTCAAGCCAAACTAAGGCAGTCAGCAACCCTACCTACAATAATAACAACAACAACAACAATAAGGAGAGGAAGAAACTTTATTTTCTATAGCGCCATTAAAAGTATCTTCTCAAACCACTTTACAGCAAAGTAAAAAAAAAAACATCAACGAAGACAGGAGATAACAAAATGAGCAGGAAACACAAGGGATTAGCTATTTAGGACCAGACACAGACACCAATTCCTGTACGTAAAACCCTTTCTGAAGAAGGCGGTTATGAGTCTGGATTTGAATGCTTCTCTAATTTCCTTGGGGATAGACTTCCAGAGCCTAGGAGCACAGCAGGAAAAGGCCCTGACATCCATAGTATGTTAACGAGCTTGGCGGACGAACAGAGGTTGTGAGGTGAGGAGCAGGAACTGGTCCTGAGGCGCCCAGTCATGCAGAGCCCCGTGGAGTGAAGGTCAAGCCAAGCGTGCCTTGACAACCCAGTTTGAGACGGCCTGGTTCTGTGGAGGACGTCTTGACCCTTCTCAACAGCCTGTGGCCCCTTCATCAGGTGTAACTCCCTATTTCCTTTATTCTTAGGCTCCGGTTGATAGCTGGTCTTCGTCACGCTTTCTCATTTCCTCTTGCAGAGGACGAAGCCACAGACGTGGGCCAACTCCGGAAGAGCAGAACGAGGAGGGGGAGAGTGATGGTTCCGGCCTTTAGAGAAAGCAGGACTTTCACAACGACACACCGCCCCCGAGCTGGCAGCCGGCGAAGCCCCGCCAGATACATCTAGGAGCAGTTTCTGCGAGTAAGCAGGACAGCTGAGGGAGAAACATGTACAGGAGCTCTGCACAAGGCTGTACGCACAGAGGGAATCCAACTGCGACAAAAGCCCAAGAGTAGATGGCGGCAGACTCAAACACAGCAGTAATTTCATTTTATGGCCAGTTTTGTTTCTCATGCCCTGTCAGGCCCTAACTGGCATAACACCTTTCAGAGGCTACGTCTGACACTGTGATAAAACTGTTCCAAAACTCAAAACTCAAAACTCAAAACTCAAAACTCAAAACTCAAAACTCAAAACATTTACTACATAAGTAGTAATAATGCAGAATGTTTGCCACAGCAGACTTCACAGCATGTGTTACAGTCCAAGCTGCAAACAGAATTAGGATAAGAAACATGAGTTAGTATTTTTCTTACTATTAATGTATAAACTGTTATGTCCTCCTTCAAAATGCCTTTAAAAGATTCATCTGTCCATTTTCTTACTGCTTCTCCCAAATCAGGATCACTGGGGAGCTGGAGCCAATCCTGGCAAGCAACAGGCATAAGGCAGGATACACCCTGGATGGGATGCCAGGCCACTGTAGGGCAGACACACAGACACAGGCACATTCACACCAGGACTGGATTTCCCAGAAGCCAATAAACCTACCAGCATGTCTTTGGACACTCACAGGAACATGCAGACTCCACCTAGATAGTACCCCAGGTCCAGATTTGATGCCAGGGCCCCAGAGCTGCAAGACAGCAATGCTAACCACTGTGCCACTGTGTCTACACCTTTAAAAGATGATGAATGTTATTACAGCACTGTATGTGGGGGCTATGAGGCTATGTTGTTAAGCAGATAAGACTGCTTTCAAATAAAGCCTCACCACATTATCTCTTTGGCAGGGGTGTAAATGTTACACCACCAAAACCCTGAGCTGTTGAATCAACTTTTGAACTGAACAGAGGGTTTCCCTGTACACAAACCCTGGTGACGCTCGCTGTGCTTACAGTATACTAGCACCGGCTGAGCAAAACCATAAGAATAATAGGCTCTGATTTGTTTCTTACCAGCACATTTTTCACAAGAGACAAACTATGCCTTGACTAGGACAAGAGCTGGTCTAACTGTAAACACGGTGAGATAAAGAATCGGCAGCAGTCACCTGTGAATAGCTGTGCGCACGAAAAATCGCCGTAGGGGATTTTTTTGTTTTCCACAGGAATCACGTTCCCTCCGCCCCCCCTGAACCAACACGGGTCAGGCGCTTTTCCATAGGGGTCTGGAGTGATTACGGAGCAGGAGCGAGCAAATCGGACTTTCCCAGGGTCATCCAGACGACCGCTGACCTGCCCTGACAGGCTCCTCTCCTCTTCATCCCCATCAAGACGTTTCTATCCAGCCTTCGTGAAACCTGTTTCCTTCAATCGCCCAGAGACCCTTTCCGAAAGGAACCAAAGACCAAGCCGTGAAGGTAAAAATCGCAAGTCTCTTCACCTTCACCTGTTTCATTCATGTGTTTTTGATTGTCACAGGAGGCCTGAGAGGAGGAAGATAGCTGCAGTTATATGGTGAACTGCGTGTCATGTCATCTGGACTTTCTCACCCATGTAACAGCAAACACAGCACATACCGAGCACCGAAAGAGGAAGGTGGTAGTATGACACACTTCACTGACAAAGCGCAGTTAATGACAGGTGAGGATTTCTCCTCTGCACTGCATGCAGCACGCAGGGAATCCATTGCCAATGCAATGTCTGGTACGATGGACAATCGTTTTCATAAACTTAAAAAAGGCACTGTCCCTCAGATGAGACGTAAAACCGAGGTCCTGACTCTCCGTGTTCATGAAAGGTGTCAGGGTGTTTCTCGAAAATGCTACGGGTGTTACCCCACTATCCCCCGACCTTTACCAATCATAGCCCCCTAATAATCCCCATCTATACACTTTGGCTGCTGTCCCATCCTCCAGGTGGGGCTACACATTGGTGGTGGAAGGGAGTCCCATTACCTGTAAACTGCTTTGAGTGGAGTGTCCATGAATATTACTATTATTAATATTGTTATTGTTGTTGTTGTTGTTGTAAAATTAAATTAGGTTTCCCTGTCCAATAAGCAAATAAGTGTGGTTTAAAAAAACAATAATCTCCCATATTTTTCTCATGTTTCCATATTACGATTTCTGAATCTCTTTAGTACAAAATCTGAAAGCAGAAGGGGTAGGAAAGCTAGTTTTGCACACAGAATAATACGGATGGCTAGTATTTCCATTGATACCTCAGCTATGGAGCTTTCCAATATTGATGCATAAACCCCCCACTCCCAAAGTACTGGAGCATACAGTAGCAACGAACGTGTGTGAAGATGTTTGTGCCTGCTCTGCTCTGTGCTTGTCTTTGTGCTGCTATGGTGGACGAAGCTGGTCCCCCTGTCTTGAAGGACCCCACGCCTGATGTCGGTGTATAGTTTACCTGGAAGTGAATACAAACTTCGACTTGTCTGGACCCAGCTACAAACTCACCTATCAGCCAGCCTCTGTACGTCTGTCTCCATCCCAGCTCCCTGGTGGCTGTGTTTGTTCATCTGGTATCTTAGAGACAGCTGCTATTACACAGCAAGACTCTTTCCCACGGCCTGCTGTCAGCAGAAAAAAAAAGCTCTGCGTAACACAAACAGAGACTTGTGCAGAAGAATGTTGATTTCATTTTTCATCAGCATTCCTTTCCTTTAATTTGCATTTGTTCTCTGTGTAATCTTAATGCAATATCACCCAGAGACTAGTGCTTTTACCAATATACAGTGAGAAATAAACTGTTACATCAAAACATCTTACAGGTTTACCAATGTCAAGTGTTTGAGCAGATGTTATATGCTCATGTAACTGATTTCCCAGGTTTGTTGACATTCATAGTGCAATAAATCATTATCTCAGTACACTTGAACCAGCTCTGCTATGGCTTCTAACTAATGAAGTTATTTCCTATCTCCCCTACAGTACAGTAGACGCATCATTACTGTGGCGCTGTCATTTTTATCTAGTCCACCTCCAGTTGCATTTGCATGGTAAAACAAAGTGTCTTTTGACAGGGCTGTCTTAAGCAGAGAGACATCGGAGAT